CTGCTGAACATCAGCATGTCAGAGAGAAAAGATGATAAAGGACATTATTATTTTTAACCCATTCACTTCTGTTTTGCATTGCTGTGGGGGAGGTGAGTATCTCACCTCAATGAACACAGCTGTTCTCAGCTGCCTATGTACCTCCACTTGGCAGTGAGGCTGGTGAGACGGCTCACAACTACTTTACCCTCCCTGTGCTCTGCTGCCTCTCCCCAACAGTATCCCTGGGCATGGGAGCAGGTGACCACCAATCTGTTTGTCTAATGTGGGAATGCTACTCGTGTCTGGAGAGGTGTCAGTGTGCCTACGCCATTACCTATTCTGTCAGCTAGTGTAGGGCACCTTACTCAAGCACCTAGCCCTGCACACTTTCAACCATGCTCTTCTTTTGGGCAATGCTGGGAAGAAACTCTGTCCAGTGTTCTCTAAAGAGGCTCTAATTTGGTCCATCCCTTGCCCCAGTGGCTTTTCAGGGTTTCGTACCGCAGAAATAACATTTCTTGATGACTGAACTCCAGAGTCTCTCATCTTCCCAGGTCTTCTCAGATATGTTCATCCTTCTCCCTCATTGGTGTCCATCTTTGGGATATTTGCAGATATTTTCACACTCTACCCAGCCATAGTTGCTGTTTGACTAATGACTACTAATTCACTTACTCTTTCCACTCACAAGGTCACCTGCTTCATCCCCACAGTCACGTCTGCAACCTTTCCCTAACACATTGCATGCAAATTATTCATGCTCTTCTCATACTGAAGGGCCTGGACATGACGAGGATATTTTTGGTGCTGAGCCCTCAACAAAGACATGGCCAACTGCTCACTCCAGTAAATTCTTTCTTGTCTGTTCCTGCAGCCTCCTGATGAAAAGGAAACTCTTCCTGTATAACTTCAAAAACCTGCGCTGGGCCAAGGGCCGGCGTGAAACCTACCTCTGCTATGTCGTGAAGCGCCGTGACAGTGCCACATCGTGCTCCCTGGACTTTGGATACCTGCGCAATAAGGTACGGGGAAAACTTTGTCATCCTGTTCTTATATCCATGCTGAGGTGCACAACAGCTCCAATTTGCCTGGGGCAGCAGGGAAAGAAGGGCTGTGACAACAACGCAGGCACTGGCACACGTGTCCACAAGCGTGGACGCTGCACTGTTACACGCCATTTGGGGGATGCGGCCTCCAGGTAAACCTGTACTTTATGCTACCCCCAAGTGTGTTACCAGCAAGACATCCATACTCGCTGCTGCTTTACCAGTCTACCTAATTTTCTACTCAGCTCCCACCCATTCCTCTTGCTGTACATCCCTACACATCAGTGCGTCCCTGTGCTTTTCCATTTATGTACCACCGTGCCTTCTCGCTCTGTGCACTGACCCCAGGACCTACACCCCACCTTGTTGCTCCTCCCCTCACACCCCATCCAGCTCACACCTCCCTCCTCACCCCTCTTACACCCTGGTCCCCCCTCCCTGCCTCATGTCTTGCCCCTCTCCCTCTTTCATGAAGATGGGCTGTCACGTCGAGGTGCTCTTCCTGCGCTACATCTCAGCCTGGGACCTGGACCCAGGCCGCTGCTACCGTATCACCTGGTTCACCTCCTGGAGCCCCTGTTATGACTGTGCCCGACACGTGGCCGACTTCCTGCGTGCCTACCCCAACCTGACACTCCGCATCTTCACAGCACGCCTCTACTTCTGTGAGGATCGCAAGGCAGAGCCTGAGGGGCTGAGGCGCCTGCACAGGGCAGGGGCCCAAATTGCCATCATGACCTTCAAAGGTGAGATGTGCAGGCGAGAAAGAGATGATGGAAAGCTATGGGGGTTAGGGAGACCCAGGAGGGTGGGAGAAGCTAGAACAAGGAGCCAGAGAAGATGATGGCAGGATGTGATGATTTAGTGATCCTAGGAGAGGTCAGTGTCCTCCCTGGGGCAGTCAAGCACTCTGCAACTCCCTTGTGCCTTGCACAGATTACTTCTACTGCTGGAACACATTTGTGGAGAACAGGGAAAAGACATTCAAAGCCTGGGAAGGGCTGCATGAAAACTCTGTCCATCTGTCCAGGAAACTTCGACGGATCCTCCTGGTGAGACCCAATTCTCCTTCTCCTTCTGGTGCCTCTTGCCCTCAGCTTCTTCCTCTCTTCCTTGCTGTAGTTCCTCTCTTCTCTTGCCACCCATTTCTGCCATCTACCAGTTCATTCATTCCTGCATCTTCACCTTCCATGTCCCTCATACCTGTCTCCCTCAACTTCCTTCATATGTCCTCTCCTCATGCTCTTCCCCTTCTTCCACTTCTCACCCTATCTCCTGCCATTCCTTCCTCTTTCCCCATCTTTGTAGGTTCCTGCTTACTTGATAACTGACCTACCATTTTTATTTTGTCCTGCAGCCACTGTACGAAGTAGATGATTTACGAGATGCCTTTAAAACTCTTGGACTTTGACGTGAAAGTCATCAGCAATCAGAAGACTTCACAAACACTTGTTCTTTGATTTCCAACTCTCTCCCTTACAACAGATCTTTCTCTTCTTCCCTCTTTACATGTCTCTTCCTTCCAGCCCTGTGTCTAGAGATAAGACTATCCTTACTTTTTCATTTCCAAGGAGAATTAGGCTGATCTTCTGACGACACACTCCCCAGACTCACACCTCATCCATTGCTAGCTGGGAACAGCCAGGACTGCAGTGACATTGCCAGAGAGCCATTTGCCCTCCCTCAGTCCCTGCAGAGCTAAATCAGGTGGTCCACTAAATGGAGTTCTGGGTTTAGCCTTGCCCAGGTGGGAGCAGACAGCCTGCAAAGCTGTGCAAATATGTTCTCACTGGCACCACACTGATCTGTACATTTCATGAGGGCTTTGGGTAGCACATCTCTTGGCTCTTAGAGCTGCACTACATTGAGCTGCTCTGTGTCCTCCCCTGTGAAACAGTGTATTTATCCTTCTGGATGTTGATAGGAAGTTGAAAACCATCACCATTTAAGTGATATAACCTATGTCCTAACAGCAAAATCAGCCAGTTATTGGAAAGTTCGACTGAGACTATTGAAGTGGGTCCTGGAGGTAGCTTAGCTTGAAAACCTCACCTGAAGCCAGCAGGTCTTCTGAGAGGATTGTATGCGGGTGCAGACCGTGCGGTGCCTCTGCCCAGAAAGGAGGAAGCTTCAGTAGCTGTTGATCCAGGTTTTTTGCCCTAGGAGAGGTTGAAACTAGACAATAAAAGCCTAAAATGAAAGCAGAATACTCACTGGCCAACTTTTGCAAGTGCAAACTGCAATTCTGGGTGTCCAGCAAGACATTTCCCAGGCAGAAATAGGAAGTCCATTCAACTCCTGTTAACTATGTTGAGAGCCATGGCAGCTCAAGGTCAGTACTGATTGGTGTGTGGACCTCCCACCCAGCCAGGAAAGGAGCCACCAAGGCACTTCACCACTGCAATGTTTTTCCAGCATACATCTACTGGAAAACACAATTAATTTCCACATTGTACTGTCCCTCAGACTTAATTTCTCATTTACGTAGGATAAGGTTGTGTCTTTATAGATGGTGTATCAGCACCCACATCAGTCACCATCTGTTTCTTGATATACCTCAGGGAGGAGCATGGTGCTCTCACTACTGGAGTACTTTTCATCCACTAAGCACTTCCTCCTAGATCAGTCCCGCAATAATGCTCCCTCCCTAGCCAACTGTCTTCTGCTGGAGACACCTTAACGGTCCCACAGTCTTCTATTACCACAGGCCTTTTACTGCCTATAATACGGCTAGATATGGCTAGTTGGTGACTGTACTGAGAGGAGACCAGAAAAAACATCTAGCATGAGCAAAGCTATACAGCCTGTAGATAGATATCTTTTTTAGGAAGCAAAATCAATGCATCCCCCTGCCTGGCAATCACTGTGTTTCCACTAGGGGACCCCATCAGCACCTCGTCTTGTGGACACAGTCTTTACCAAGTTGAAGACATGGGTTCATATTATACACCTGTTCACCACCACCTTCCTACTACCTAAATTACAGATGGGTTGTCCTCTGCAGTCTCTCTTGAGGGTTTACCAAGGCCAAGTGTGTCCCACATTCTGGGGGTACTCTGTCATTTCCTTCATGATGGGTGTGAGTTCTCTGCTCCATCCCATTCCCATTTCTGGGTAAGGCTGGAGGCTTCTGTGTTGCTCCTCAGAACACCTCATCTGGTGACAGGCCAGACGCAGGAGGACAGCAGAGAGCCCTGCTCCCTCAGTGCCTCCTCCTGCTAGGAGAGGTCACAACTGGGTGCATCACAAGCTTCCTACAACTTCCAGCTCCTGAGGCACTCTCAGCTCAAGGAATTTCAACCAGGAACAGCAATGACGGTTCTTTGCAAAGCATTAATTTGCAAGCATGGTGTTGTGTATTTGTTTGATACGGTGCGTATTATTTATATAAATAAAGGTCTTACAAGTGAGCATCTGGTTTTGTCATTACTTTGGTAGTACATGGGTGAGGGAAGTAAAAGTTGACACAAAAGACCGACAAATCATCTGTCCTTTCTGATTTCTGGAGAGAAAACCTGGCACTATCTTATTAGACTGTCTTCATCCTTTTCCCTTATAACTTTGAAGTTCTTGACAGTGTCACCCAGCATATCAAGGCAGATAAAGTGTTTCAGGCAATAGATACTTTGCAAATGCTATCAACAATCTGGGATGTAAATGCTAAAGTTGTTCAAGATGTTTCGTTCATGGATTGCAAGCCTATCATCCCCGTTCATGACTCATAATTGACCAAAGTGGACACAGAAGAAGTGCTGACTCAACACGCTTCACAAAACAGGAAGAGAAACAGAGATGGGAAAAGGACCTCTTCCAGCTTTTGGTATTGGCCTGTAAAACACCATTGTCCTTCTGACTGAAATTGTTGGAGAGCTACTAGAAGAAGCAGCATTTTCTAAAAAAGCAGTTGAGACACTGGCTTTTGCTTAAATGCTGTTGAACACTGAGCTGAAGATACTTGCTGAAACATAATTGGTGAAATTATACAACAGGAGAATAAATACAATGAGTAAATGCAAAGAAACATACACTGGATTCAGAACATATCCTAGGTTGCTTCTTCTGAATCTAAAGCAGATTAAATTCAGAGTGGGCAGTTTAGTTAATCCATGTGATTTAGCTATGGGAGTTTAGCTCTCCTGCTATAGAGATCCTTTTAAACTGCACTTTTTCTGTTCTCAAATATCAATTCATATTATTTGTTACAAGATAATATTTGAATTGGCACTAATTAATTCAACCTCAAATGCGTTAGGCATATCTGCCAAGAATAACTCCCTGGAGGGTGACTGTTATGTAGTAACATTACTTTTTCAACCTAAGATTTTTTTACTTGCTTTGTAGACTGTGTTTCTAGTGAACATTTCACTACTGCTTATATACTCCTGAGTACCACTTATGTTTACAGCCCTTATGGAGATGGGCATATGGTGCTAGCTGAAAACCCCAGTCTCACTTGGTCCAACATCCCGCGGCTTGCAGCGGTGAACAAGGCATGGGCACATCCGAACAGCTGTACAGCTGCTGCCCCAAGCCATACTTTCCACGAGTGTGCCTGCCTCCCTCTTCTCTCGTGACTCACACTCTAAGGACTGCAGCCACAACTAGCAAAGGGATAGAAAGGACTCCCAGCAAATCTGGCACAAACGTGAGCTCTCAACAGATCTGCCCCCATGACTGGGTGTGTGATGTTTTGGGTGCTTTTTGCATGCTCAAGATTTATACACCTTTACTGTAAGCACACTCTCACGAGGCCCAGGGGGCTGCTGAAAACCATTCTTCCCACAGGCTGGGGGTTAGCTCCTTCAGCCTCACCAGACCTCATCCTGCATGTCTCTGCATGCAGCCACCTGCATGACTTTTTGGCAATCAGACCCTCGGGACGCATCCAGTCTTATGACAACTGACATGCGCTTTATCGCCCCAGTGGTTGGGATACAGAGACCACCCGCTCTGTGGAAGCTCCAGCTCTGCAGCGGAGCGAGGTACGGGATTGGTCTTTGATAACGGAGGAAACAGGATAAACAAGGGATGGGGTGGTTATCGGTACAGCGTGGAAAACCGGGAATGGCTGCCATCTCCTGGCGCACGGGGGTGTTTGGCACCCTTTACGAGGGTGATGGCTGGAGGGATATTGTTCCTCGCTGCAAAGAGCTCCCGGAGTCCGGCTCTGACAACCCCCAGAACATGCCCATTGAAGAGCAGGACACTGACATCATTCCCACAGCTGCACACAGCATTACTCCAGGTCAGTACACAGTGTCCTTGGACATCACATTGCAATAATAAGAAACAGATTACCATTAAACAATGCAAAGACACGCTCCAGGCCCTTACAAATACAAGGGGGATTTTCAAAGCATGCCTCCCCCCTGCTTGCTCTCTCTCCCTCTCCCACACGCTGGTACTTCGAAACCAGGACAGGAAGGGGCTTCAGGCTCATAAAGTCCAATGCTCTGCTACTTGCCCCTTCAGGGGTTTTTAGCCTATATGTATTTGTATCCAACATTGTCCTCTAGCTCAAGTAGTTTTTTCTTCCCTCCCTGGTGCTGACCCTTTGGTGTTTCTATGAGCAGAAATTTCATTATTTAATCACGTGTGTATTAAATACTCACGGCAATGGAAATCAGATTTGGTTCACAGAAGAAATGTGGAGGGATTTGGCATAGATGATATCATTTGTTCTGACAGCACCAGCAGGGATAAGCAGAGCCTCTGAAGGGGAGGGAGAAAGCGGGTTGCTGCCAGAGCAGAGGTCAGAGCAGAAGGGCAGGTGCCAAAGTGTGGCAAGGATTTTGAGGGCTGCCTTTGGCTTTTAAATCTCTCATACATTTTTACAATAGGCAGGTTTCCCTTCAGGCTTCCAAACCCGCATAAGATATAGCTAAAGCACCATTATTGCTGCTGCTGTTGTCATTATTATTGTTAAGCGTACCAGTTGAAGGACTGATGTGACTTTTGAAGGTGCAGGGCTAATATTGAGAGAGGTAATCTTTCTGCCTACAAGAGGCCTGTCTCCTCACATGGGTGAGCGCACCCAGGTTCCAGGGCAGGGAGAATGTTGATGTCTCCATGTTATAATCTTGTTATTAATCATAGATAAGAACAAGCCTACTCTACAAACTGAAATAATTTTATTACCAGTCCAGAGGGGCAGAAGAAGATGGGAGTAGACCAGCTGTCTTCTGTGGTTGCCTTTATAGGCTAGCAGCATGGTAGACCCACCGCTAGGCTCTTACATGCCAGTAGGAGCACAGCAGGGATACAGCAGGTTGCAAGATCACTCTGGCAGCTAAAACTGGTGTAAAAACCATCACTGGGCTGACTTTGAAATGGCAAGCTTCCAAACGGACCAGAGAAAGTCTGCCCTCCTGTCTTTGGTGGGAAAGGGCTGAGCCTTCTGTGCAGGACCATGCACCCTGGCTAATTCATTAAAATGAGTCTGTACACTTCAGTTAATCCAGGCACTTCTGTGC